ATACTGACTCTTCTTTTTCATAATACCATGTCAAGACATCTCATGAAATTCCTATTGATATTATGATTACTGATAATTAATAAAATAATAATTCTATATGGAATAAGAATGTAAGATGACATTAAGGGGAAAATTCTTGCATCTCCTTGAAAATACCAAGTGCCAAGTTTAGCATTAACTAATGTCAACAAGAATTTGGAGGAAAAATTAGTACTTTATGCATATGGAAGCACACATTCTAAAATTGGACCTAGCCTGAGTCACTGTTTGTGGAATTCCCATTTCAGTTCTCTGGCTTATTGCCCCACAAACACAAGACCAAGCTTCCTTGTTCCACATTCAACATTATGTAGTTTCAATTTTAGTATATGTGCTGCCGAAGCGAGCACAACATTATGTAGTTTCACATTGCAGTTACATCCCTCCATTGTTTGTGTAAACAGGAAAAGGAAATGAATCCTGATAAAGGTTAGTCATTTCTTGCCTTCATTCCAAAGTGAGAATGCCTGAGAACTGGAATATTTAAAACTTTTGCTACCATTTGTGACTGTGCTAGATATTGTAAACAGTATTATTTATCATTTGTTTCAAGTGTTATAATGGACTTTGTCTTCCTTTCCAAATGTGTCATGCTACTTGATTTTATTTAAAATCTGAAAGGTTTACTTGGTGATTACAATGTCCCTTGCCCACCTGATTGGAGACATCTCAGAATTCTGTATGCTGAACTCCTATTCTCAGTCTTAAATATCATGTGAAGCTTATATATCCTTCTTTTCATACACACTTACAGGAAACAATTATAATCTAATTAAAGTGGTGGTCTTTTGTGTCAGGAAATTAAAATATGTCTTTGTGTCCTACATGAGGAAAGGCAATTTTATTTAGAAAAATATAGGCTTATTAATACTTATTTATGTGCTATGATTTTCTCATTTGAAAGTAACATATTTGTCTTATATGGTTTCCAAAATAAAAGTTTCAGGTATAACAATACAAGAGTACTTTAACAATTCATGGAAAATAAATTAAAAGATAAACCTCATCTATAAAAAGGTAATTTTATGTTGAGACAACTTTTTTTAAATTCATGCTTAATTATGAATAAGCATTTCCATGATTTTAATGTACTCTCTTATATCCAAAGATTTTGATCTAGAATAAATCAAAATAAAGCATAATTTATAGTTTCTTTCCCAAATATTTTGTTCTAATTAGTTAAATCTACCACTCAAAAATTTTGTTTAAATTTTCATTTAAGACAGTTTACATTAGTTGCCATATCCCAACTTTAACTTTTAAAACTTTGTGAAATAGCTTTCCATAATCTGTACACTGAATTTTTCATTACAATTTCCGTCCATACTGTGAGAATAATAATCTCTATTTAAAACTGTATAATTATAACCTATAGTATTTTATTTGATTGTATATATTTTTCATTTGCTGATTTTCACTTTTCTACATGATATATATGAGTAAAGGACAGAATTTGTCAAATATATGCTCAGATATCTGAATGAATTAATGACATATACTTCTATGTTATACTTTACAGTGCCTCATACAGCTAAGCAAACTCAATAACTATCAGCTGCTTAATCTGCTGGTGACATGATTCTTATGACTGAACTTTCAACAATACTTGACCTATCATGGTAGCTAGTAACAGAGAGGATTATGAGTAAGGAACCTAAGGTTCACATCAAAATTAATTTTTAAACAATCCTAGTCCTGATCATCCAATTTGAGATAAAAATAGGTAAAATTCAGTCTAACAAATTTTATCCTGAGGAGCTCCTAAAATTAATGACTAAGGAACATCAGTTACAGAAAGCTGATTTGATATATCCCTAAATACCACATAAAACATCTGCTGAATATCCATAGTAAGGAAGAGAATAAGAAAAAAAATGGCAGCCAGAGGTAACATAGCTCAGTTTGAGTGAATAATCTGAAAATGAGTTGTATAATGCTGAAAACGTCTATAACTACTTAAATGGACATAATGTGAATCTCAGAATATAGATGAAGCCAAGTAAGATGAAGTGGCACCACTGTCCAATACTGTGCAAAATTCACAATATACTGTTTACTCATGGAAAGCTACATCACCTTGCCATAAACATGTCCTTAACCAATCATTTTCAAAAATAATCTTGAAAAGATTTCACGGTGCAATTTTATTTATATTAATGAAATGAAATGTTTATTGTATCTAAGGAATCCTTAGCTATTTTGTATCTTCTGATGAATGTCCTATATATTCAGAAGTCTTATATGGTATTTGTTTCCTCAATGAGAAACACCTTCTGTATCTGCCCCTTTCTGCCACCATTCCAGTCCAAGCCTTTATCATATCACTCTGGAATTATTACAGTATTCCCCTAAAGTACTTTCCTAATTTAATCACATTTCCATTTAATACTCAGAAGTGCCTTCGAATAATCATTTTTTCCATCTCCAATACTCAATATCCTTAACCATGTCCAGATAGCCCTCCAGAATTTAGCTCCATGCTGGCAGTATAATCCTAACACCCAGCACTTAACCAAACATGAGCATTTTAGCGAGGCTCTCTTTCCCAGTGCAATATGAACAAATCCTTTGCAAATTCTTTCCATGTGCTTTTCTCCCTAGATGAAATTCATCTATGCGAATAAATCTAATCATACATTAAACCTTAGCTCCTGCCCCTTCTTTTCCTTTAAGTCATTCATTTTGCGTCTGGAAACATTTTCTTGTATTCTTTAGTTGTGAAAGGTTTAATATGCGAATTTCTATGTGGTCTGCAAAATTAAGATAGGATTCATCTTTTACTTATCTACATCTCTAGTACTCCACATTACTTTCTGCATATAGTAAGTAAATTAACTTGAAAGAATGGTGTCCCTAGGTTAAAAGTTGTTACTGAAAGTCACATCAATTTAGACTTGATAAATCTATAAAATTAATTTTTAAAGAATACTTGCTTTTTTCTTTTCTTTTCTTTTTTACATACATTCAATGTACTTTATAACCACAGGCATAATGGTCCACTTAATATTTTCAACGAGATGATTGCTTTTCTTCTTTTAAAGATTTATTTATTTTATTTATTTATTTTGAAGGTCAATGTTAGAGAGTGATAGTGAGAGAGAGAGTGAGAGAACGAGAGTGAGAGCAAGAGAGAGAACTCTGCTGTTTCAATTCCCAGATGGCCACAATGGCCAGCACTGGGCCAGGATGAAGCTAGGAGCCAGGAACTTCATCCATGTTTTCCACGTGGATGGCAGGGGCCCAAACACTTGGGGCATCTCCTGCTGCTTTTATCCAGGCCATTAGCAGGGAGCTGGATCTGAAGTGGAGCAGCCAGGACTAGAACCAGCAACTCATGGGATGCTGGTATCAAAAGTGGTGGTTTTACCAGCTAAGCTACAAACCTGGACCCAGATACTTGCTTTTTATATGTAAATTTGTGCTTAAGTAATCTGTTCAGGAAACTCCCCCAACTAATTTTATTTTTAAAATTTGCTAAGTAAACTTAGATCTCAAAAGCAATAAACACGTAACTCTTGGTTCAGCTTTATATTTCAATTATCATATATTTTGAGTGCTGCATCTAAATTAGTTTTATTAATTTCAAATCATTAAATGAAAATACTTGATACTATGGGGAGTATGAATACTCCCAAGCAGGGAGTTAATAACTATTTTATCTATTTTAATCAGTATTTAATTTTGGAATAGTCATAAATGTCCTGTTATGCTATGTATTTTTCCAGAATACAAATATGAAGTATTTATTCACCAGAGAAAGATGATTCTCATATTCTATCATGTTTCACTTCTACTACTCAAAGCTTTCATTTATTCAACACTATTATGAAGTAACTGATAGAAATGTCAACATTTTTATTTTATACATTTTACCTCACAATAAATATCTTCCACTGGGTCCCCTGGATTCAAGCCTTCCTGCCAGACATTTTTATTGTGTTTTCAATTGGCAAGATTTTAATAAATCAGAGGCTGAAGACCACAAAGAGCAAATGAGACAGAATTAAATAGTACCTCATTGTTTTACAAAAGGCAAATCCATACCAACTTCAACAGAAATGTAACCTTATATTCACAAACTTTTGACTGTAATTCCATATAATTTCTACCAATAAGCTATGAAAAAATATGGAACATATCTTTTGAAAACCATCAATTAAAAAACACTGTAAATCCAATCACAAGACTTTTATCTTCAATTAAAATAAAATTTATCCCTTGGGGCTGGCACTGTGGCTCAGTGTGGGTTAATGCCCTGACCTGAAGTGCTGGCATCCCATATGGGCGCCGGTTCGAGATCCAGCTGCTCCACTTCCAATACAGCTCTCTGCTATGGCCTGGGAAAGTAGTAGACGATGGCCCAAGTCCTTGGGCCCCTGCACCCACGTGGGAGACCCGGAAGAAGCTCCTGGCTCCTGGCTTCAGATCGGCGCTGCTCCGGCCGATGTGGCCAATTGAGGAGTGAACCATTGGATGGAAGACTCTCTCTCTCTCTCTCTGCTGCCCCACCCTCTGTGTAATTCTGACTTGCAACTAAATAAATCTTTTTTAAAAATTCCAGATATTATAACAAAAATATAGATTAAGATCATTTTAATGGGAGGAAATTGGTATGAGGCATTAAAAAAGTAATAAAGTTTTAAAATATGTATGTGGTTTTTTCTCTTAGTGAGACCAATGACTTGTTGGATAACTAGCGCTCCCTACATTCCTACCTAGAGTAATAGGGTAATCTTTTTAAGAACAGTTATGAATGGGACCTGTGCTATGGCGCAGTGAGTTAAAGCCCCGGCCTGCAGAACCGGCATCACTTTTGGGCGCTGGTTCGAGTCCTGGCTGCTCCACTTCCAATCAAGCTCTTTGCTATAGCCTGGGAAAGCAGTAGAAGATGGCCAAGTCTTTGGGCCCCTGCACCAGTATGCGAGATCCAGAAGCAACTCCTAGCTCCTGGATTCAGGTCAGCTCAGCTCTGGCCATTGTGGTCATTTAAGGAGTGAACCAGTGGATGGAAGACCTCTCTCTCTCTGGCTCTACCTTTCTATGTAACTCTGTCTTTCAAATAAATAAAATAAATCCTTTGAAAAAAAGAAAAGCTATCAAAGGACAACATATTTTTCTAAAATGGGTTTGACATCTTTCCAAATACTGAGAGGGAACTTTTGAATGGTTTAATATAATACAAATCTGATTATTTTATCACAAATTTATGCATATTTTTGCTTTTTCAATAAGTACAACCAATTTAAAAATTATGAAGAGACTATAAGTGCATTTCAAGATAAAAAATTACAAAATGTCTTACCAAACTGCTCTACTTGTCATCTTCAAGCATCCACATGTAAACAGAACTGGCTGAAAATGTTTCAAATCAACTAATAATGTTTGCTAGCAGAACCATATGGTGAAAATTTTCACAAAAGTAGTACTCTCACTAAAAACCCACCTAAAACACTCATTATCATCTGATTTATAACTAAACAAGCAGCCATTTGAATCCACTAAGTAACTTCTCAGTTCACATGCAATCTATCTGTTAGCTCGATCTCCAAATGGTCATAATTGCCAGAGCTGGGCCAGGCATAAGTCAGGAGCCAAGAACTTCTTCCAAGTCTCCCACATGGGTGCAGGTGCCCAATCAATTGAGCCACCCTCTGCTGCTTTCCCAAGCACATTAGCCAGGAACTGGATTGGAAGTAGAGCAGATGGGACTCAAATGGGTGCCCATATGGGATACTGTCGGTGCAGGCAGTGGCTTAAACCCCTAGGCCACAATAATGGCCACAAGTTAGATGAATATTTTAATATATGTTGTAGTTTATACATTACCACAACAACTCATTGGACTGTGTTGATCAAATAAAAAGTTTTAAAAGTGATACATAACTGTAAAATGTTATAATCATATAAGATAGATGGTATCTACAAAAATGCAGGCATGGGTCATCAATTATATTTCCAAATGATACAGGGGAGAAATATCATTTTGATCCATTCCCAGATTTCATTAGAACAGTAGACTCTAAATTCATTTCATAGGCTTGCTCTGAATAGACAACAAAGACACTAGCATCTAACGAACATGTAGACAATGTCACATAAGAAATGTGTGAAGAAAAATCCTTTTTTTATCCATGGAAGAAATAAATTCCCATCTCTGCATCTTGACCCTCATAAACCTTTAGTGCCTGCATAAAAGTGGTATTATATTATGATAATTTATTGCCCATTGAAGAGGGAACTAGAGTAGTGAAATAAAGCAGATTCGTCGAAAAATTCGAAAGTATATATTTTTACTTCATTACTAACTTTTGAAACAGAAAAAGGAGTATAAGATACACCAATATGTATACATTATCACAACTGTCTTACACCTATGAACCAATACCTAATAAGACTAAATAAATTAGTAAGGCCACATATTCAAACCACAAAGCCATTGTTTCAGACTGGGTCAGCATGGTGTAAAAGACATGAAATTTTCCACAACAAATTCTGTGAACCAGAAAAAAAAAGGTGTGTTTGTGGGTGTGAGGCAGGAAGGAATATAAAGGCTGCAATGGTAAAAAAAATGTAGTTTAGTTTTTTTTTTTTTTCTTTTGAGATCCAACACTAGGTTTTGGCAATGTGTACAAGTTCTATTACATTTTAAAAGTTAATTAAAAACAGTTTCTAAATCTATGAACATTTAATGCTCAAAGGGCTGAGAGGCCTTTTCATTACAACAGAAGCACATGAAGCAAATGATCATTGAAATACATCATTTTTTTTTTACAGAGAAAGCACAGAAACATGAAAAGACAGAATAGAAAATGCCTTACAGTTTATTCAAGCAACATGACAAATAAATAAGTAAATTAAGGCTCAGATAGGTTAAGTGGTTTGCTCAGGACCACAGAGCTTGTCAGTTCCAGACTAAAGATCAGAATTTAAATCCCCAAACTAGTAGTCCAGGGCTGTGTTCTATTGCAAATCCAAAAGAACATGACAGTATTTAAACATTTAATCCAGAACACCCTCAGAACTGAGTGTATGTACTAAAATTAAGCCACACAGCGAGGAATGAATACAGTTGTTTCATACCAGAAATGAGCTGCCAGTCACTGTGGTAAGATCTCTTTCTTTCTGAGAACCATGGTTTCCTGTTGGATTGGAGAATCCAAACTGGGTTTGTCCCTCCCGTCTGAAGAAGTCAGAGTCAGGATGTACATTCCAATCTGCTTTGGTTGGTGTCGGTAGTTCTGAGACACTGTTTTCACAAAGGGTGCTGGAAGGAGTCAGAGCTTCTGTGTCCACTGTTAACTTACTGCTGGGTGTCAAAGCTTGGGGCTCAGGACTGGAGCTTTTCATAGCCACAGAACCCAGAGATCCCAAGGGCCCGGCAGCTGCACCTGAGACATCATCCGTATCTAAGGTGTTCTGCTGAAAACTGGCTGCCGTTGTTCCAAAAAAGAGAGAGGTATCCAGACTTTGAGGAAGGTCACTGGTGGCCATCAAGGCCCGGGGGTCCACAGCCTGCCCTAAGGAATTATTATTACTAGCAGGGAGGGTCCCTGCCAGAGATGAGCTTACAGAAGCCACATCGATGGTCAAGATCCCAGAGTTCACTAATGCTGTGTCCAACACTGCAGCAGAACTATTGCCAGGCACATCAGAGAAGAGAGACACTATCTCGGCATCACTGAGATCATTCTGTCCCTGGCTGGTAAGTTCATTGCTGGGTGTAAGAGAATCTGTGGCTTCTAGCTGAGCTAAGAGATCCTGGCCAAGGTTGTGCCTTTTGGCCATGTGGGTCTTCATGCTGTGCTTGGAGGTGAAGAGCTTATTACAGGTGGAGACCGGACAACGGCTTTTCCAAGTGTCCACATCTTGCAGGTGTTTCTTGGAGTGAATGTAGAGACTACTTCGAGCGGAGAACCTGGCACAACAGCCTTCTACAGGACACACGAAAGGTTTTGTGCCCAAGTGGGTTATGCTGTGGCCTTTCAGATGCTCGGCTCTCGTGAAAGATTTCCCACAGCCTTCCACGGGGCACGTGAACCTCCGGTCATCGTCGTGCTTCCTTTTGTGCCTTAAGAGTTTAGACATGCTGGTGAAGTTCCAGCCACAGCCATCAAAGTCACAAAGGAAAGGTCTCTCACCCGTGTGGCTCCGCAGGTGAATTTTCAGCCTACAAGCCTTGTCATACTGTTTGCTGCAGCCAGGAAAAGAGCAGGAAAAGAGTTCCTGTTCCCTGAAATGGGCACGGTTATGGGAAAACAGGGCACTCACTGTAATGAATGTCTTCTTGCAGCCGGAAAACGCACACTGGTAGGGCCTCTCGGGCTCGAAGTGGCTACGCTGATGGGCACTGAGCTTGGCCTGTGTGGGGAAGCTCTCCTCACACACTTCGCATTTGAAAGAGTTCTCCTGCTCATGGCCCTTCATGTGTGCCTTGAGGTTGTATACGGTGGTGAAGCTCTTGCCACAGCCTTCCGCAGGGCAGCCAAAGGGCCGCAGTTTGTCGTGAGACTGCAGATGTCTTTTGAGCTTGTACGAGGTGGTGAAGGTCCAGCCACAGCCGCCCAAAGGGCACTTGAAGGGCCGTTGGCCCTGGCTGCTGCTGTGTGTCAGCAGGTGCACCTTCAGCTGGTGCTTCTTGGCGAAGGTTTGCCCACACTGTGCCTCGGGGCACAGGTATAGCACCACGCCTGGGCTTGGGCCCAGTGACCCGCGGGGGCTCGGA